TTGTTTTATTTCATCAACAGACATTTCTATATGAATACAAAAAGTGGTCTTGCCAGGCTGCTGGTAGGCTCCATAGTGCATGACAGGTGATAAGCAAAAGCAAGAATTATTAGAGCTATTTATTTATATCTATTTGCACGTTGCCATTTGTTGTGGAGATGTGTGTTGCAGCGAGGACATTACACCACTTTCTCCGGTCCCAAAGTCAGACGTTACTTTCTAACGTTTCTTTGTCGCCAGGGTTCCAGTTACATGGGAGCCAGTGCGAGCTCAGCTCCCATAAGGATGGTCTGAGCTCCCACGGAAGCAGTAAAATCATGCATCTGTGGGAGTCTCTAATTCATTTATCAACAACCATTATTTTTAATCACAAATAATGTATTTTTCATTGTAATTAGTACATACTATTATTTACATGACTTGTAAATACATGAACTACGCTGCACACTGCATGACTGACAGGATGGCTGCACAGTATGGTACACAGGACAGTTTTGAACTAGAATTAGACTCTATTGACTGCTGCTTATTTGTTTAGTATTATTGGTTTTTTAAACTTTGTTGCAATATCGCAGACTTCTGGGGCAAGTAGTGAACTGCTGTGTGTGTGTTTGTGCGTTTGTGTGTGTGAGAGAGGGAAATGTTGAATCACGTAATAAGCACTGATCTCTCTCTCTCTCTCTCTCCTTATTTATTTATCACCGCCGGTAACATTAATTAGCATAATAGAGACCCCCATGAAGCTCAGATTATAACTCGAACCCAGTTTGTCACGGAGTGATACTGATCTGTGCAAAGGAATTCAATGTCATAGCCATTGTACACACTCATTTTACCACTACTATGAACCAATTAGATCGCTTGATATGAGCCACCCCTTTTATAAATATTTATATTCAGCATTATTTGTCAGCCATTCTGGAAACTTTCCTCAAACTCTTGGGGCTGTTGATCTTGCATATTTTTTAATCTAATTCAAAACTGATGTGCCAGACTCCGACCAAGATTTGTATAGACCCATTTTGCACATGAGCCTTTGAGTAATCCTTTAGTCTGGTGGCACCTTAGCCCAGTATCCTCATGACTCCATATTGGACAGTTCTGCACCTTAAGATTTACATTCGAATGTTCAGTACAACGCAGTAGTGAGAGGGAAAGTAAGGGTGTGGAGGTAGATGTTTGTATTTGGTTACAAAAACCTGCTCAAACCTGCCATAAATAATAATAATTAACTGTTACCAAGATTTGACAGGGTTTTTGCTGTTATATGTTTTATTACAGTAAGTTTATGAAACCACTGACCAAACCAGTCACACATCCTGTGATTGCGTTAATTATGGATGGATTGATATTGAAAATAAATTATTCCTCTTTTTTTATCCTTGAGAGGGTGAAAGGGGGTCCCCGGACCCCACTTGGAGAACTACTGCTCTATTTGTCCAAATTTCACTTCTCTTCTTACTTCTAATAAACCAGACAACTACTACTACTATTACCATTACCTACTTCTTCTCCTTTGTACGTATTCAACGTAGTGATGAAACGCACTCTGTAGATGGCGGCACAACATGGAAACCAAACCATGTCAGGGGATTCTCGGCATATGTACGAAAAAATGGTTCATTCTAAGGTAATAAAAACATAATGGTTCATTATGTAAGGTCTTTATACACTACAGTTATGTATTTTATATAGCATTTCTGTCAATTTCCTAAATATTACACACTAAACCTTTAAAGGTGACCGCCACATATTTTACACATTGAAGTCTGTTTATAAATGTAAGGGAACACCACAGCATATGTGAAAAAAAGTTGTAAAAAGCCTTTTGTGGCTCCAGATGGAGACGTGTGAAGTCTAATAAATGTCCTCAAGTGATGTCACATGAGTCAGCATCTGCTGGGGCTAAATACTAAAAGTTTTCAAAATGAAGGTGTGGCGTTATGTTGCCTTTTAGGAGATCCAGGAAATCTCCGCCGACCTAGGACGTTATGGTATGGCACCAAGCAAGTTGATTGGTTGATTCAGCTCTTGTCGGGAGGTGGGTTTGAAACTGAGACAAAAACAAACGTAAACACACTAAATACAAGTAAAAAAGCATAATTGCAGCTTTAGAAAGAAATTAGCTTACCAAACCTCTGTAGCTGAGGATAGTCACTACTAGCATAACGCCTGTGAATCTCCAACCAAGTTGCATTGTGGGTAATTGTGCTTTTATGAGGAAGACAGTGAATGGAATTTAAAAAATCAAATGCTATATGCTATATTTGTATATATATGCAAATGCTATATTTGTGTGTATATATATATATATACATTATTGATTTGCCATAATCTTGATGTTCCCTAATTTTAAGTTTTTTCCAGAATTCTTTTGTATGGTGTGTTCCCAAAGGGCTGCCTGTGTCTGCTCCAGGGATCAGGACCATAAATAGCTCTTGTGACATTTACTTTTTCAGACTGCAGCACATGATGCTGCAAAGTTAGAAGCTGTCATGATGTTAAAAAGTCTGAATTACCGTCCCACACTCACAGAGAGTTGAGAATTAGTTATAGACGGTCCAAATCAAATGTGCCAGGATCAATTATTTATGAAACAAGCCCACACTTGTAAGAAAACAAGGAGTGTGGAAATCGTCAGCCAGCAAATGTTTCAGCTTTCAGAAAAAAGTAGCCGAGCTTCATGTTTGATTGACAGCTTCATTTGCTGATCTGAACATTTTTGGCAGTTTGCCTTTTTAAGCTTTTAGCTAAATGTGTCCTTGTGTGAAGGCGGATGTGCAAAATTCAGCTGGATGTTGATTTAGCAAATGTATTTAATAGGCTGTTTGTTTAAGAGGAAAACACACTTTTTACAGTCAAACACACTGACGCGATAAATAACCTACTCCCAAGTCTTTTTAGAGGATGAGACTCATCTACAGTTCTGGGATTTTTAAACCAAGACCAGGCAAACCACTCAGAGTCAGACATGAGGGAAGAAACCAACAAAGAAAGAAAGAAAAAAGAGAGGAGAGTGAAGAAGGAAAAAGGAGACAGACAGACAGACTTGGCAAGACAGCAAGAGATTAAATGGCAGAGAGAAAAGAAAGGAGGGATCAGCGAGGATTGGAGGGAAGGAGATTTGAAAGGACACAATGGGAGGAAGAAAAAGAGGCAAAGGGAAGACAAAAATGGACTCATCTGGTTCTTGGTGACTCAGAGGGCGGCTGAAGGGCTGATGGGGACAAACAATCCTTTGGTGCAACGCCAACAGTATCAGAGGATGAACTGTAATGAGATGTAAATGGAAACAACCTGAACGACAGAGCAGCTACAGTTCTGTCAGGGCAGGGAGTAACCTTTGGTTTGTCAGAACAGCTTAGGGAGAAAGATAAAATATTTACTGATGTACCTGTTTGAGGCTCACAACTAATGCTTTTGAAAGAATAAAGATTCTGTTTATCAAGCCTGATAAATATTGCAGAACAGAAATAAACAAAGAGCTTCACAAATGTTTACATTGTTTTTAGGATTTTTGGTGTGCGATCAAACAGCGACACTGTTTTTATCTTGTTTTGTTGGTTCACTGTGCAGCAACATACAGACATAACACACAATTTACTTTACATTTTTCTCTCTTCATTTCATTTGCTGAACTATACAGCAACAAACATCCCTTCCTCTGTTTCTCACAATCTGTTTTAATTTTGCAGTGAGGAGCCAAAATATCAGATCTCATGCTGTGTATAAACAGGAATTCAGGAAATGTATATGACAAGATGTGCATATAACAGTTATGTAAGTCACTACAAAGTATATATTACACATTTGCAGATTAGTTTAAGAGGTACATCATGTGTTAATACTTTTTGCTCTTGTTGGTGCTTTTCACATACGATCACTAATTTTTTTTTAAAACTCTGCCAAAAGGGTTATATTTGTGGTATTCTTTGATTTTTGAAAATAAATCGAAGCTTTACTTTTTTTTAACACTTTTTATCCATTAAATATTGCACATGCAATGTGCTGGTTAGATTGATATATGGATCCAGATACAGATTAAAATGTCTTATTCCTTCACAGGATCGTGACAGGAACAAGAAAATAGTTCATTTCTTAAATTTTTAATGTTAACTTAAATGGATGATCTAATAGTGAGGCAAGAGGTGGCAGAGACAGAAAATTTATGGTCTTGCCTCATTTGGACAACAGAAAGCCGGCCTAAAGGACTTAGAAGTTACCATGTGATTATTAGCCAATTTGAAAAATAGTTCAGCCTTTGCCCAGGTGTTAAGAGCTATGATGCATTATTTACAGTTTTTGTACTTGATTCTATAAAGTCTAAATTAGCATGCAGTTTATAATCCATCATGTATTGTATGTGGGATACTCAGTTTTTCAGACACTACCCCGAGCCTTGCCCATTATCACTGGATAGCCAACCAAGGGGAGTTCTCCAGAAGTGCATGGTGAAATTGAACATGGTACATGAGTACTGAAATAAATGTACACGGCTCACACAGACAAAACATTTGTGGATTTTTTTTTCAGATCTGTTTATTTCATTTACACAAGTGTCAAATATGAAGGAAAGGTGCATATTTCGGTCATAAGACCATTAACTTACAGACTGTAATTCTGAAGACTTACAGTAAGCTATCAGACAAAAGACAATGTCCAGTCAGGAAGTAAGAGCTACCATCAGCTACCAGGATGGGCCAAAAGACCTGAGGGTTGTGCACAGTAAAGAAAGAAAGTACTTTTTGTGTTTTAAAGGTTATTATTTTTCTTATCAGCAGCTTTCTACCCAAAAAGGCCTCTGAATGATTTACGAGCCACTTTTAAAACTGCTTTTGCTAAGACAGGAGATAAACGTTGGACTCATTGTTTTCAAAACCCCCAGAGTCGCATTGTGGTTTCATTTGTTTCTGCCTTTGATAACGATGTTTCCCTCATTTATTTCAAGACAAGGACACCTAAACTTAACTTCTTAACAGTCTCTTTCCTGCTCTCTTCAGTTTGTGGCCCAGCCGAACTGCCAGCAGCTGCTAGCCACGCTGTGGTACGACGGCTTCCCGGGCTGGAGGAGACGACACTGGGCGGTCAAACTGGTCACCTGCTTCATCATCGGACTCCTGTTTCCTTTCTTCTCACTGGTAAGGAAGGAGGATGGAGTAAGTGGAAGTTGAAGAAAGGAAATGAGGGAGAGGGGGATGAAGAAGGATAAACAAAATAGAGACAATAAAGGGAGCAAGAAACCAAAATATTGGACAGAGAAGACTTTAGCAACAAAGTAAGTGTTCAAGGAAGAAATGGAGGAAGGTTCAGGGGAAGTAAGGCAGAATGGAAAAGAGGAAAGGAGGGAGCAAGAGTGGTGGGAGGAATGAATGATGACGAGTGAGACGAAGAGAAAGCAAAGAAGGAAGTGGATAAGGCAAGAGAAAAAGAAAAAGAAAGATAGTGAAAGAAAGATTACGGAGGGAACAAATAAAGGAATAAATAAATGAAGGAAACGTGGAGTGGAGGTAAGAAGAAAAAGAAAAAAGGAGGGACGAGGGTCAGACAGACGAAAGAAAAAATGGGGAAGGGAAAACAGAAGAGAGGGAACTTGGAATGAGTAGAATAATAAAGGATAAGAGAAAGGGGGGGAAATGTAGCAAGAGTACGGAGGGAAGACGTAAAGGAGAATGGGAAGGCATGAATAAGAAAAGACATCCAAAGAAATGGAAACAGAGGAAAGGAGAAAAGAGAAATGATGGAGGAATGTTTTTCCTCAAAGTAAATGTGTTGCCAGGCAGCAATTAAGCAAAAGTCTTTGTTTACTGGCTGCAGGAGATGTTGCCAGGAAACATCAGCATGACAACAACACTCGACCTAAAAACAAACTCGTGGGACTCATGTTAAAAACTATTGAAGAAGCCAAAGATAATGTTTGAAAGAGGAAACAGAAGCTAGCAGATGAGCCGGGTTATTGTAAGAGAAAAAGATATCTGTTCAGGCAAGAACCCACTGTGCTGCAACGCACGGTGAGGTGAATATTAAAACTCGTATATAAACAGACTTTCACTGCAATCTTGACTGTTAGCAGAAGTTTGAGTACAGACTGTAAACACGAGATGAGCAGAGAGGATGAGACATAGAAGCCTGTTGGGCACAAGATGTGGGAAAAATTAACTTACCACTTCTGTCCGACATCCACAGCCTGGATACCATGTAATCTGTGCTTTTTTTGCACTTTAATCAGAAGAAAAACATAATTTTTATAAAAATCTGAAACTTTGTAAGCCAGGAAATATAACCAGCTTCCAAGGGGTTGGCATGGTGATGGCTCAGTCTTTCTCAGTTTTCTTCCTTGTACTCACACGAATTAACTAGAACAGGAAAAAGGGGCCTTATTACAGAAAAATGTCCAAACCGCTTGTCCTATCTTAACTGTTTCAAAAATAGGAAAAATCCTCTCTTAGACCTCCTATCTCATCTTAAGAAATCCTTACTGGTATCGGCGCTCATCCTGTCATGCCTGTATCTGTGTTTACAATGTACACGTGTGTGTACAATGTTTACCTGTATTTATGACAAAGGCTCATTTTACCCTGTCCCTGGCTAGCTAGCTTGTTATAATGGACAAGAAGGGACGGGCGTTCAATTTTAGCTTCAATTTTAATTTTATTCGTGTCTGTGGAGAAACCTCACCTTTTGGATACACATTTGAACAGACATGGCAAATCAATCAAATTCAAAATGAGTCATCTTGGCAGTAAATATATACTCATGAATACATGGGCTGGGTTATTTAAAGCATCATGATGTGCTTTCAGTAATCATAATATTTCGGTGTTCACGTTGTTCCCTATCTCCACTGTAATTGGCGTACAAACCAGTTATTTTGAGTTTAGGACACGGCCTTTGTGATCCTAATATTTCTTCAGTTACGTCAGTAATGGCTAAATTCCTGTTCTAAGAACTTGTTTCTGTAATACCAAAAATCCTAAATGTCATCCTAAACTGAGACAAGAAAGGATTCCAGATATGAGACTGTTCTGTAATGAGGACCCAGGTGAAGTCCATGAATAGCTGGAAGTTACACGATTCTTGCAAATGTTTTTTGGTTGTATCCACATGGTTACACTGTAATTTGCTTTGGATGAACGCGTCAGCTACACAAATGCAATGTGACATGGTGTAAGTTCCCGCTGGCCTCTGCTGTGGGATCAGTACCTTGGAGAGCGCTGGGGAAAGCAGTCCTGACAGCCAGCACAAACACATGTTGATTAAAAGAAGATTAATTTAATTTAATTGAAGTCAGTGTCATGACTCAAAGGCGAACTTCATTTTGCTTTAAAGTTCATTATTAAACAGCGGATCTCACCTGTTAAAACTTTAGATTATAATCTTTAATTTTAATGGCATTTAATAGTTAAATTTTCATTGTGTGACAAGTTCTGTAGGATCTCCCGTACATATGTATGCACTGGAGAAATCTTTTCTTAGATCACAGTGTTATTGCAAGGATTTGCATGCGAGATGCCATCGCACTGATGGCGGCTTCTTTAATTGCTCCTACAACCAGGATTCATTTGTAGCTTTGAGATTAACTAAATCTAAATATTAATTGTATAATTGCTTCTCTAATAATCCATTTCCAGGATAAACTTTGGAAATATAGTATATAACTGTTAATCCCATTAGTAAGGAGACAGCAGATTTTGCACACAGATTTCTAAACTAAATATTTTTAAACCAAGAATATCGTATTTTCAGTGTTTTTGTAGTAAAGCTAGTTGCTGGTGTTGCTGGTTTTGTTTAGTTCTCTATTGGTTTAAATACCTCAAATAAGGTGAATAACAAGATTAAAGTTACAGTTCGTATAATTTCACATCTTTTTGCCTAAAAGTTAACTAAAAAAAAACAAAACTAAAAAAGGTACGTGACCAGACAGTTACCAGGTCTTTACGGAGTTACGTTAACTCAGATTTTATTGTTAATGTGAGTAAGATAATTCACTTAAAGTCCTTACGTTGCAAAAATTGTTGCATTAACGTCACTAAGTTATTAATCTTTTAATGATGCACGTGAAATCTCCCTTTTTGTTTCCGACCCTCTCTCGCTCTCTTTCTGTTTTATCAATTACATTTAAAGCCTCGCTGGCATGACTCAGAGTGAGAAGAGGTTGCCAGGAGCAGAGCAAACAAACAAGCATCATAACAGCAATAACTGGCAATGAAAAAATTAAACTTTATTGTTCATTACACATTACAGGATATTTGAGGAATCTTATCAAATAGTTTTTCTCTTTTAAAGAGAGGATGCAAGACAGCTTCATTCATGCATTCTCCTTTACTGTGTCTGCTTTTTGCAGTTTTTTCTCTCCCTGCCTCTTTTCTGTGTGTTGTCTTGTTTTGTACCTTAAAGGGACACCGTGATGAATCTTTTAAGGACAAACCAGTTAATCTTTCTCTTGATCTCTGTTTCCTTCTTATGATCTTGCGTTGTCTCTCTCCTCCCTCTTCTCTTCCTTTCATGTTCTTACTCTCATCATTTCTGTGTCTTCATGCCCTGTCCTCATTTCTCTCCCTCTGCCTCCTATCTGCTCCATTCTCCCTCCCTTTCCTTCTCCATCTGTCTCCTCCTCGCTTCTCTTCAGATCTACCTGTTGGCCCCTAAGAGCGCTCTGGGAAGCTTCATCAAGAAGCCTTTCATCAAGTTTATCTGTCACACGGCGTCCTACCTGACCTTCCTGTTCCTCCTGCTGCTGGCCTCGCAGCACATCGCCCGCACCAACCTGCACATGCAGGGACCCCCACCAACCATCGTTGAGTGGATGATTCTCCCATGGGTGCTGGGTATGTACAAAAACTAAACGTTAACCACTTCATTTGGTTATGTTGCATACATTCTGAAAGATTTAGTATGTACATAAGTAGCGTTGCTGACTTTGAACCGGTGTCAACATTAAATACTTTTATTTAAGTTAAGTTATGTAAATTGCATAAGTTAAGCAACATGTAAACTGACGTACGTAGTTATTTTAACCTAAACCATGATCTTTTCCTAACCCTAACTAAATAATCTTTCTGCCTACTGAACCTAAACCTAACCAAATGACAGCATTTCACAACTTTTAACAATGTGCCGTTTCGTTACTCTACTCTGCTCAAACTTCGGGGTTCAGTATCTTGCCGAAGGACACTTTGACATGCAGCCTGGAGGAGCCGGGGATTGAACCGCCAACCTTTCGCTTCCCGCTCTATCTCCTGAGCCAGTGTAACCGGACGTTGCATATTTATTATTGCTGAGCGTTACCTGACAGCAGAGCCCTAAATGTCTAAAAATGACGTCAAAGGGATACACAGCATGTTAAATAGGGACACTAAAGGGCCTTGACCAATCGTCAATATATGACAAGTCGGGAGTGAGAATGTTTTTTTACTCAACTTCCATAATTTAAATCACCAAAGACCAAAACCTAACCTAACCAAAGAATTAACCTTTTAAAAGCATTTAGATGAAATCCACAAATTAAAACATTGCACAACAGCTAATGGAAAAACTGCTTCTACTTCACTGTGCTCCTACTGTTCCCAGAATGCCTTGGAAATCACTCGTTGACAGACTAATTGGTGTATAAATAACTTGAGTCTTTGTGTCTGCACAGTCCTTCATTCGACCAACCTGCCTTGTAGCCACATTGCATTCTTCTTTATTGTTATTATGACCGTTGAAGCATAAAGCTTCACTGCAACTGATGACTGTCTTCATTATCTATTATCTGTTGGATTATTATTTAAATTAATCAATGAATTGCTTTGTGTAATAAAATACAACAGGAAGAAATGACCATCACAATTTCCCAGCCCCAAAGCGGCGTCTTTAGATTGTTTTGTCTCACCGTGATTCAGACACATGGCATTCCTTAGGCAAAATGCCAAACAAGTCAAAATCTTCATTTTGGCCTGTTACAGCAGTGAGTGGCATCTTCAAAGGGATTTTTTTTGTGATCAGATGTCTTCTGTCTACCTGGATAATAAAAACATTTGCCCGGGGGGTGACACCAAAGTTTAAATTCCATCTGAGCTTTGGGTCTTTTAGACACACAAAGTACGCTTCAGCATCCATATGAAACGCCGTTAGGTTTAGGAAAAGATTGTGTTTGGGTTGAAATTAGTACAGTACCTGATGGCGGATGAGTTACACTGGAGTTACTTGGCATCCCAGGGCGTCTCATACGGATACTGAAGGGTTCCTTGTGCGCCAAATGCAGATGCTTTTTTAGGCTTTCTGAGTGTCTCAAAGTGGTATTTGATGCACTAAGATGAGACCAGGGTCCTCCAACACCCGCAAACACACTTTCATATGCAAAAGGCCAATGAGTAGTTATGTGTTTTAAGTAAACTCTTGAAAACACCAGTAGAGCAGGATGTCAGAGTTCAGGGGCGGTTACTGAGAAAGCCCTGTACCCACAGCACTAAATCCTGGGGACAGACAGGAGCCTTTGGTCTCAGGAAAGGTTGGACGGAGACGGTCATGGTGCAGTGAAATTTAAGCATAGAAACCGTAATTTTCTGTTGAAATACAATGTTGGTTTTCTTAAACCATGAAGACACTAAATCTTTGTCTAAACTTACCCGGATAGCTGAGTCAGTCTGGGACGCAATGACAAAGTTTTAATAAGACATGTCAAAATCTTACTTGTTCATTTGTATTTCCTTCCTTTAATAGATGACTGATATATCATATTTACATGCGCTAGAGACTTAAGTCACTGTCCAGTAAGCCGTCATACTGTTTCATCAAGAGGACTCTGAGTATGTCTGCACAAGTGTGTGTGTGTGTGTGTGTGTGTGTGTGTGTGTGTGTGTGTGTGTGTGTGTGTGTGTGTTTGCTGGGGTGTGGGTGTGTGTGGTCGGATGCTTGCGAGTGTGTGGAGGAGGTGGTTGTGCGTGTGTGAGGGTGGGTGGGTGTGAAAATGAGTGATTACATCTCCATATTCTCTCTCAGAGCTGACACCAATCATTTCCAAATCATAACCATAATCATTTGGAAAAGTACGAAACCATCTGTTCTCCTTGCCGTCTCTTCCGCTCTCTTCTCCTGCCTTCCTCTCATTAAAACGTTCGGCTACAAAATGCTCGCAATAAAAAAGAAATGACACTGACCATTAGCTGGTTGCATTGCTCATGATAATCAGAGTATGCACTGCTCCATTATTTGTGTCTGTTAAATACTAAAGAATAAATGTGTAGTTGCTGTGAAAACACTTTGCTTTTCAAATATTTCTAAAGTGTCCAAAATTCATCTGTAATACGAACAAAGGTTTTGGTCTTGCAGGTCACTTTAGAAAAATGTTCCAAAGTAACAGTGTTGAGTGTGGGTGTTTCATATCGTAATTAAAATCCTCACAACTGACAGAGTTTTTGAATTATCTGTGAAACCATGTTTACTATGTTCAGTCACTGAAAACCTTCAGATTCACTTTCATTGAAACACTGGGTGGTTCCACTGTGGGGGTTACTCTTTGGATTTTCAGTTTTTGGCCAGTTGTTACAAAGTTTATTCAGCTACAGTTTTGCATTAGAAAAGTTTGATAAATAGAAAAAAAATATGATATACTATTAACAATTTGGAAAGATTAGTGTGACCCTTTAGTTTAATGCACTTCTCATCCCAGATGCATTTTCCTAAATGATTTAAATGTAGCTTCCAACACTAAAATGACATTATGTGAATAAGTATTTTGTTTCTCCAAAATGTGTATTGAGGCAAAGTCCCAACCATTGTTGGGTGGATTGTCATAAAATAATAAAACCAGATATTTCGTATATGTTCTCCACAAAGTGAACTGTTGGAAGACCCCCTGATTTTTCATCTAACACTATAATCAGATCAAAATTGTATTTTGGTTTTAGCACAAACTAATGACATTCCCATCAGCCTCAGCTGTACTTTGTGTTTAGTGCTAATAATCAAATGTTAGCTAAGACACTAAGCTAAGATGGTGAATATAGTAAACATTATATCTGCTAAACATCAGCATGTTAGCATCGACATTATGAGCATGTTAGTATGGTGACATTAGTATCTAGTACAGCCTCACAGAGCTGCCAGCAGGGCTGTAGACTTGTGTTTCTTTGTCACGCTGCTGCCTGCTTTGGAACAAAATGTTTCCAGTTAACTTAATCCAGGTGGCATTACATTTCCTATGAGGGCAAATTGTGTATGAACGCCATTTGTGGGAGATGCAGTTGCACAACTGGTAATAAATCTAGGAAATGTTATTTTATATTGTTGTATTAGAAAATAACTAGACAGAAATGACTGTGAAATGAGGGGACCTGAATCATCTGTTTGATAAATTACATGTTCACAGTCTGAAAGATTACAATGAACTATTTCATTATGTTGGTCTTTCACTGCACATTATCATAACGTTACCTTTGAAACAACCTCAGTCCCACTCCTACCTCAAGTTTATTGCACTATAATATGGATATTATACTGATATTGCACATGTTTTACATATTTCTTGTGTGTGTTTGACACCTAAGACGCACCGGCGACCAACACTAGTGCCCATGCGTTTTAGCCTCCTTGCGTGTCCGCCACCCATACCTGAGGTTGCCCATTCGAGTCAGGACCACGCAGTAGAACAGCCCTCTGTGAGAACCATTACATATGCAGTATATCTTTGTAAATATAATTGTGTTTTCTTTTTTCCTTTAGTGCTACTGCTTTTTTCCAAGCTATTTTACAAATGAACAATTTATTGTAAAGACATTTTGTGATCATCATCATATGTATCTTAAGGAACAAACTAAAACAAAGAAAACTAAACAAAAACTAAAACCCTTTTGTATTCTAATTTAAAGTATTTCCATAAATGTTTATACTTTTTTTAGCGTGAATGGGCCACAACATTCATGTATTGAATAAAGTTTTTTTTGTGTTTATTAATGTTCAGAAGTAAGAGTAGAGTGATAAGTGTGATATAAGAAAAGTAGATATTGTAGGGAGAACAGATGAAATACAAAATGACTTGTGAATTATTTAGAATAAAAGCTGACTTTGTCTAAAGTCAGTCGTACAGAACAAATGTGTTGGCTTCCTGCTTACCTCCCAATGCTACTGCCAAATGAAAATATCCAACAAAAGTTTGGTCACAGAGCAGAAACCGAGCAAACACAAAACCACTGATGGATGACAAAAATGTGCTCACGCACGTGTGTGTGCACGTGAACAACCTTCAGTGTGTATGTGTGTGTTTCAGGCTTCATCTGGGCCGAGATTAAGGAGATGTGGGACGGGGGATTCACAGAGTACATCCACGACTGGTGGAACCTGATGGACTTCGCCATGAACTCACTATACCTGGCCACCATATCGCTGAAGATAGTGGCCTACGTTAAGGTAAATCTCCACAGAGCACATTTAAGTAAACACAGTGAGATTCTGAGATTGGGATTTATTGTTATTAAATGATAATACAGAATGAGTTCAAATTATACTTATCTTATGTGCATAGCCTTGATAATCTGCATGACAGACATTGTATAATTTCCATCTCTGCAATTTTCTGAGCAGCCCTCTATGCAAATGTCCTTTAGCCCAAAATGTATGGTTTATAATTGTGATAATGCAGCATGTCCGTGTCCACTGTAAAAATGTATATCTTTTAGATTTGCCATATGGTGACATACAGGTGGCTGACAAACTGAAGAATCCTGAATAAATTTGTGAATGTTATAGGGTTTATTTCTTTAATTTTTCACCCATGTGTATATCAATATTATTTTTAACACTGTGATGAAAATTTTGACCACGTCGCCAATAACGCACATTAGAGAGCTGAAAACTACCGTGCAAGGAGCATTAACAAGAGATGAAATGAGAAATAGACAATCAGTTAGCAGCTTTCATGAGCATTATTGTTGTTAATACATCAGCCGTAACCTTTTGACCTTAAAAACACCACACTGGAGTGTTTGAGGGCCACATCATGCGACATCGAGTTTCACTTTGCTGTTTTGATGTAGTCATTTTCTTACTTTCACAGCACAGCTTTCCGCTTTATAATTCTTTGTTTAGCTGCACACTCTGCCTGCATACAGGGTTTATCTATTTATTAAGAGCGAATGGGGAAATCATACACACACACACGCACACACCAGACGGCTGGGCCATCTGCAGCAGCTGTGAGTCACTGATGGTGGCGGGTGGCCCTCCTACACAGGTCCCACACACACATATAACGTGTGCACATACACACAACTGTATGCTTACATACATACACATACACACATTCACGCAGGCTGGCGCAATATATTTTGGTTTCTGTCTTTTTTCCTTTAAATGCTTATCAATATTTAAAATCCTCAGAGCTACACACCCAGTGCGACACCTAACAAATATCCATTGATATTTGGACAATTTTCACTCAACACCACACCTGCTCGTACACTTGATGATATGTTATGTCTGGTGTATTGTTAATGTGGCGTACTGTGCTTATGCCATGAAGTGTAGCATAGATGTGGCACAGGCGATCGTGCGTTACACCTAAATGAAACACACGTTAGCTTCACCACATGTGCATGATGCCTGTGTAACCATCGTAAGTGTATGGAAATTGTAGGTGAAATGCCAGAGGTTGGTGAGATCGCAGAAGCGCTGGTGAGGTACTGGTGTGCATGAATATTGATACGTTCCACCCTTGGGGTGTGTGTGTGTGTGTGTGTGAAAGAGAGAGAGAGAGAGAGAGAGAGAGTGCATCTGAGAGAAGGTGCGAGTCTATAAATTAATGAGTTTGCATCTGTGTGCATGTTTCTGGCTGCTCCCCTGTGTGTGGATGTGTGTGTGGACACTGAATGCTAATAGAGGCAGAGTTAACAAGACAGGCGTCCTGTGTAAGTCTAATGGCCGAATATAGAATGAGGAGGAAACCAAGCATGAGACAACCTAGAGAGCTGTGGAGAAAGATGGTGGGAATGGGATGGAGACAGACACGGGGGGGGGGGGGGGGGGGGGGGGGGGGGTGATGTGTAAGCATGTGGGATAAAAAAGGATTGAGAGGAAAGCCAGTAGAAGAAGAGGATGCTGGAGGTCAGAAAGAGAAACAAACAGGAACATAACTGTGAACTGTGTTGAGTATCAAAAGATCAGCAGTGAGCTTTAGTGGGATTCAGGGGACAAAATCATGAAGCTTATCTTTCGAGGAATACCACAACATTTACAGAAATACATTTCTAAGATACATGATAAATTACACAATCGACATCTGCTACTGTTAGGGTTAGGTTTGGTAAAGACTTGGTTAATGTTAGGGGAAGATCATGGTTAAAAGAACACATTGCTGACTGTTTGTAGGAGAAGGAATGGTACGAGTGGTCTCCCCTGTCAATCTCAGTTGCTTTGTTGACTCAACCAGCCAACCCGACCTTCTCCCTGAAGGGCGAGCCACACAGGAAACGCTTTTGAAGTCCGTCACTCGCCCGTCTTGCATAACAGATATGGTTGCATTTTATCAAATGTAACAACTGACACACACATCACCAGGGATCGATGCTTCAGTGGATCTGAATCTTCTGAGAGACAGCAGCCATAATTTGCATGATCAGTAAAGGTCCTTGCCCCTGAGGGGTTAAGCCCTGCACAGTTAATGGATGATGGCTTAAAACACTCACTCATTAAACACAGGCAGTCTGACGTAGCACCACTGCTTTTTTCCCCTGCAGCTTAAAGAGTAACTATATCATTTTGTGGATATAGGAAACATTTTAGCAAACAGTTGCTTATTTAGACATCCAGCAGTTACAGAGCGACATTATCATTCATTTGGAGTCGTGTTTCTGGCCACCTACCAAATGTAAGTCCCAATATTCACTCCAGTAGTGGACAGTTAGTTTTTAAAAACCTTCTCTTGGAAAACCACTGCCTGCTGAGGCCGAAAGCGATGCTATGAGAGCATTGAGAGTGAACCAAAACAGTAAAGTGCAATGGGCTGAAACTCACTATAAAGCTGAGAGGGGAGCTGCAGATTTAGCTTTTCTTTTTATTATATCATCTTGTTGAGCTCTCTTCTTCTTCGCGGTGGTCTAACGGCACATCAGCACCACCTGTGTATTTCGATACCCCAACTAATATTCACAGAAATTTGCATTTTCTTTAGCAGATTTTCAGGAAGTTTGTTTAAAACTTGAGCTAAATGTAGAAGGAGACTTGGCTATGGGTTGTTTTTGGAATTTGTGCAGACAACAAACACTGTCATCTTTCTGCTATGTGTTCATGTTGGCTCAGGAAAGCACTGGAAGACTGGAAGCATATGAAAAGAGCTAGCTCCATTTAAGCTACCTTGTAATAGCTCCAAAAATGTCTTATTACCACATTTCATCTTATCTTAGCCGTGGAGAGGTGCCTTTTTCCTCTTTTTGCGGAGGCCAGCAGTTTCCCCTCTGCTTTGATTCTTTGTGCCAAGCTAGGCTAAAGCACGTCCTCGACTAATCACTGTACTGAATGCATAGAGATAAAATGCATATTAATGTATCATCCTCATTAGACAGAAGCATATTTGTCAGGATGTCAGAGTGCTTGTCTCATTGTATTTTTAAAAAAGAGAACAGAATGAGCTACAGTGAATTTCAAACACTCTCAGGTTGTGTGTGTTTCAGATTGTCACAGTCTGATATTAACACCTGACCCTTTGAATAGTCTCTGTGGTGAACTCTGTTATATTTCCATGTCTCGCCTTTTCATCCTCCTCATCCTCTCATGCTTCCCTTGCCTCCTCGCTCCTCTCTTTTCCCCCACATCTCTCCATCCACCTCTCCTCCCTTCAGTATAACTCCTCTCGTCCCAGGGAGGAGTGGGAGATGTGGCACCCCACGCTGATAGCTGAGGCTCTGTTCGCCATCGCAAACATCTTCAGCTCCCTCAGACTCATCTCCCTCTTCACCGCCAACTCCCACCTCGGGCCCTTGCAGATCTCACTGGGGAGGATGCTGCTGGACATCCTCAAGTTTCTCTTCATTTACTGTCTAGTAAGGCCTTTTGATCCAACTCATTCACTTTTCACAATATTAGCTTAAAGACTTTTGTGTGTATAATTAGTGTTTGTTAACTTTTTAAATTTTGAAACCCTAGTATTTGTTTTGTTGCAAATCTCATTACACATGCGGAAAACAAAATAACTTTCCTATTGTTCTATTTGTGCCACTAGTGAGAATGTTTAGCCTTTTCAATGGCTGTTCAGCTAGTATGGGAATCACTTCTAATACATTAGCACGCCAATTGTTAACCTTTCTACAGTTAGCATGTTAACATCCATGTTAAACAACTTGTGCATGTTAGCGTACATTCCTTTACTGTGGCTCTGTTTGAAACAGAAGGCAGCTGCCTCGCTGCTGTAATAGACAGGTGCCTCAGAACGCATTACGTTCGAGTGCAGGCATCTCTATCAACATTGGTTTCGAACAGCCTTGGTGGGCAGCATTTACAGCAAAGTGCGACGTCAGCACGCCATCTTGAGTCTCTTCTGGCTGTCGTAGTGTCAGCTAGCTAGCTAGATATTGTAAAGGCAAATGGATAACAGAAGACTCAGAAATCATGAAACAAACTTGCTTGGTTACAGTCACAGGCAAATACGATAGTTCAGTGTTTAGTTCTCACAAAATTTTTTTAAATCGACAGCACTCGATGCCTCGCTGCTCTGTCAGACACATTCTGAGACAGAATTTTTACCCGTTTCGAACACAGCCTGTGTTGCTATTTTTTCTCATTTCTAGCATATTCCACGTAGCATGCTAACATTTTGCTTTTTAGCATGCTAACATTTACACTTGGCATTTGTATCAAAGTGTAATGGTAATTCAGTTGTGAGTTTCAGAGTGGCTGTGGTATTGGAGGAGTGGACATTTTTTTCCTACGTGGAAAATCAGTTAAGTCAGTAAAAGTCAACCTCTGGCAAAACTAATTTGTATCAAATACTGTGATAAGCCAACAATTAACTATAAAGATTTAGTACATATACTGGATACTTTTCTATTAGAACTTTAATCTTTTCGAACTGTAGGATTGAGAGTGAGAAAATCCTCAGCACACTGAGTTCCTCATTGTCAGTAGAAGGAAATTACAGGCCTATTTCATGACGTTCAGAACTCATTACTTCTGTCTCAGGGGAACTCCTAACCTACACCACAGTCCACATGAGGACTGTTTAGCTCCCTGAAGTGTTAAAATCAATCCCACTCAGTCCAGGGCACATTGCTTCATGCTCACTCAGAAGCAGCTTTACGTAACGCTGCAGTGGTTGTGTCCTGTTTGAGAAGAAAGCCATTTTTCAAAATGCCTTGGAGCAGCAGGGTGTCAATCTTTGCAACAAGATGTAATGTTAGGTCCAGAAAAAGGCTTCTTATATGAGTACTGAAGTTTTGCTTCTTTAGATACATTGGGTGTTGGGAATTATCCCGCATTATTCCTGTGATTTAAATGAACTTCGCCATGCTTAGTGATATTATTCCAGGACTCAGAATGTGTGTTGGTATGAAGATTTAATGAAGGCTAAATTAAATCTCTTAACTGTGTAGGTCCTGCTGGCTTTTGCTAATGGCCTAAACCAGCTGTATTTCTACTATGAGACCAAGGCCTCAGAGGAACTCAACAACTGCAAGGGCATCCGATGTGAGAGGCAGAACAACGCCTTCTCAACGTGAGTACCAACCATAACATGTATGCCTGTTTGTGTGTGTGTGTGTGTGTGTGTGTGTGTGTGTGTGTGTGTGTGTGTGTGTGTGTGTGTGTGTGTGTGTGTGTGTGTGTAACAGTTTGTAAAGGAGTGAAAAACAAACATGAAGGTAAAACTGCAACACTTTGATACACAAATATGTTTCATGTCATCATGGTGAAAATGCATTAGAATATTTTACAGTACTGCGCATTAATGTTGATCATCGTTATGACTCCTGCTGATTACTAAAAATGTTGAACCTCCTGGTCTAGAAATGACTTTAAAGATTGTGAAATGTAATTAACTGTGATCTGCAGATGGTCAGATTAGCATATGTGTTTCTACTTTTTGTTTAGTCCTACACTTTTCGACAATTTGTTTATTTTGCCATGGTTGCAGGGATGGAAATGTCGGTTTGTCATTCAACTTTCAACTGAAATATCTTTGCCACTATTGGACGTATTACCATGAAATCTGAAACTAACATTTATGTCCACCTCAGGATGAATTGTAATCCCTACACCTCCAGGCATGGCCAAAATTGTGTCCAATATTTTGGTTTATGAATAAATACAACCTAGAAAAGACAGAGACCGAGAAAAGGCAGGAGGAAAGAGCTTTTAAATGCTGTAAAATTACAGAGATCTTCAGGATTAAGGGACACGGTGTTACTACTAGCAGGGCTGCCCTTATGTCACATCATATCACAGCTACCTTTTCAGAGGTAATTCTATTTTTTAATAATAGTAGTCATGCCCTGTAGGACAGCAGGAGATGCATTTGTATGTGAATAATCTGGAAAATAAAGACCTGTATACTTGTTTCAGGTGGACGTATCCAGTTAGTCAGAGTTTACATAAATCCAATCAGAGCTCTGAGGAAATGCAGATGCAAAACAGTTAATCCAAAATGCACAAAACTGATATAGGCCTACATCAAATTTTAAACCTGTTGCCTTAATTGTGGATTTTTGCTTAGACAAAATAGTTTATTCTTTGCTCTTTGTTTCTAATGCAGATACATTTTGTACTCTGTATTACAGTATTTAAAGCTGTTATAAATAAACAGTGTTTGTGATGATTATTTTCAGTTTAGTTTTTATCTTTTCAATTAATCTTCTATACCCATGCAGCACTTTTAGTATATGCAATAAGAAGCAACTCCTTTGTTGTGTTTATCTTAATAGACTACATGTTTTCAAAGCCAGATATCCCAGAATGCATTTCGCCGGAGAAAACTATAAGTTATAATACTGCTGTTCTTGTGTCTACTGCAACATTACGGTAATAGTTTTATCAGCTGCAGGTTGAACTAATCCATGCCCGTTAAATGATCACAGTACATTTACAGCATTTAGCCGACGTGCTACATCGTTAGCTCGACCTGCTGCTTTCAGTAACTACCTTTATTATCTGTGTATCTTTCACCAGAGGCTCTCCAATGTCAGCACAGCTAAATGTTTTGGATGATAACGAAACAGGTAGTGAGCTGGGCTGAAATTTATAACGAAATTGTGTCACTCTTTATAATAATAAGATCACAGTAAGTAAATTCACTGTAGTATTAGTGGATGTCTCTTCCTCTGTGTTGTATATTATGTGGGTCATGTTAGTTGGTGATACACCGCTTCTCCACCTCTCAGGGCGACTGAGAGGTGGAGAAGCGGTGTACCTGAGTATCGGTAAAAGCCAATAAATCTAAATCGAACGTTGCGAAGCAAACAGCGGCAGATCCAAGCTAATATAGCGATAGCTGGCTGCCCCTGCCTGCATCACTATAGGATAGTAAACAAATCGTCCCACATTTGCTTTTTACCGTTACATTACGTTCTTGCAGGATTTGACATAATACCAGTGGTATACAGGAAAGTGACATGGGTCACGTTAGTTGGTGAATTAATGTGGAAAGCGATCGGACAACATTAGCAACTGCCTGGCCTTAGCTGGCGAGCTAACGTGACTTTCTCTGTGTTTCTCCAGCTTTACTAATGCTCACTTTGTTCTTACTCGACATCATCTGAACATGTTTGGTCTGATGGGCTTCAGCACATAAACCTTTATTGTTGTTTTGTGTCCTTACGTGGAGTCTATGTTTTGCTGTGAGCCGGTTGTTTTATGGTGTCAGTGGACTGCATGTCGTTAGCTGCCATGTTGTCACTGTAGTCAGAGAGAGGCTCGGGAGCGCGCACAGGGCTGAATCCGACCCAGAGACCTCACATTAAAAGCAGAATAGTGGCTGATGCAAGCAACAGAGAAAACAGGAGTGTGCTTAGTTTCTAAGTGTGTTTTGAGCCCACTGACAATAAGGCAATGACAATTTGATTTATTATTATTAAATTAAAAGCTTACATATAGTCACTTTAAAGTACAGAATACCGAACTTGGCGAACTTGGTATTGAGAAACAACACTAGCCTTGTTTCTTAAGCCTGTTTTTAATAGTCATTCATAAATCTGAATTTCACGTATGTTGTTAAATATTCAGATTACTGTATATGGCCATACATTTCTGCTTTTTTAATTCATTCAAGAAAAACAACACTAAGGAGGCCCTGCCTGTAGCACATCGTCAGGTCTGCTTTTGTTTCTCTCTGAATGGTAAATTAACACTTGTGGTTAAGGGAAGGAACATGTTCTTCTGTTAATCTATTACAACTGTGATAATACCAGCCACCAGTTGTGCAAACATCCATTTAAGTGGCGTCTGGATCGATGTCTGAATATTATATTGCACACAGCACCCTGAGAATCAAATCCTGTCCAAGTAATCGGTGTCTAGAAGTGCTGCGTGGACCATAATTTAAACTTTCACACCACACCACACAGACTCTGCTCTTATGCGTCGTTGCACCAGATAATGAAATAGAAATGATTTTTGGTGTCGAGAAGGAGCTCAGGCTCGTTCAGTAGATGTGAAGAATAAAATGTGCTGGGGGGTTTTTAGCGTGAGATGGGCGAATTTGCAAATGCAGAAAGCCAGTCGGGGGTTTAGCTTATTGAGAGGCCACGTCTGAATTATGGCTCTTATGGCAGCTTTGCAACACGCACAAAGCACAGATCCAGTATGTCTTTGCTGAGGGACGCAGTGACAGCCAAGCCGAGTCAATGGGCTGAATATTGAGAAGGCATGTGGTTTGTTTCAGATAATAGGTGTATTGACTTGTGATCGACTCCATTACAGTAAAGCACTCGGGACAATGATAGCACTGCGAGGAGAATGGATGTTAAAAACAACAGATCACACTTTTAACTTTTTGTTTTAGATAATAGCTGTATTGACTTGTGATCACATATATTGATGAAGGCATGTGTTTGTTTTAGATTTGTGATCGATTCTATTACAGTAAAACACAATGAAGAACAATGAAGAACAATGATAGCACTGCGAGGAGAATGGGTGCCCAAACAACAGATCATACTTCTAACTTTTATTGTGTCTGTATCTATAAGGTGTATTTTTTAGATAAATATAATCATGTACAGATTACCATACAGGTGAAATGTGTCTAGGAAAGCAAAATCCAAGATGAGATCTCATAGTGGTTTCCTTCTTTTCTCCTAGAAACAAAAGAGTTGCTTTTAATACCAAGGTGAGACCAAAGGCCTTTTATCCCACTTCTCAAATTCATCTGAGGAGAAACAACCATATAAAATCTAATTTATGTCTGACTCTGATCAAAACAAGAGATCTCTAACTGATCTTAAATAAGTCTAATTTAAGTCTCCTGAACATTTTACCATGAGGTCAGAGAAAGAGCTCAAAGAAAACTCAGCTATGACTCCTGGTATCTCATGATTCTTCACAAATATGTCTCAGTTTTCTCATATTGGCCTCAGGAGCAAAAAACTCATCTCTGTCTTACTCTGATCAAAAGATTAGACCTCTACATATCTTAAATAATTGTGATTTCAGTCTCCAGAATGTGGATCAGAAAAAAAGCTCCAAGATATTTCTCAGTTTTGTCTTAGTGACCCGACTTAGGGGTTATTTTAATCAAGTACTTTACTTACGTCAAATGTTGAGGTTGAGTATTTTCTTTTTATGGGGGTTTGTACTTTTACTCCCCTTAATTTCAAATCCTTATTGTATTTATTGTTAATTATCTGTTACAAGTTACTGAGAAAAATTAAATAAATTTTGACATTGAAAATAATGCACTTTCAAATGTCATGTTTTCCAATTCGTTAAGGTCACAGCCAGCATAACTGGAACACCCAAAACTTTGAAATGATATTTACAGATTAATTAATTAAGGACCTAATGCACACAAGAACTGAGATACAACATGTATCTGTCATACAGAATGAGCACTTTTACTTTTGATACTTAAGTACATTCACTAAGGAATATTTTAATACCTTTTACTTGAGTACAATTTTGAGGACTTTAATTGTAGATATGGTATTTCTCCTCTTTTAAGTAAAGGAAAATTGTACTCTATTTAAAGACAATAAGTCCCTTGTTATTAATTTTAGCTGGATGGCGCAGCGGCAGTGTTGTTGCCCTTTCAACAACAGGAGTGGGGTTCAAATCCAGCTCCTCCAGCACGGTTCTCTAAGCACAGATAGTAATGTGATACAATCAAGCTCACAAACAGCTCCCAACTGCTTTTTAGGAGCAATAAGCAAGACATTAATGCCAAAACCTCAATCTCACTTCATCTCATCCTTTTCTCCTAAGGGGTTTTAGGAGCAACAATTCAGACTGGAGTGATCTCAAAAAGATATATTATTGAGATCTTAGTGTTTTCTCAGGAGTTAAAGAAAAGACCATTTTGAGCAAAAGATTTTTCCTCTGGGGTGGCCTGAATACCGTAATACTTCCAAACCTTAGCCTAATAGCCTCCTACCTCCTTTACTGGCCCGGTGTGGGAACGCATTTTCACAAATAAACGCAGGTCTCCATTAAACACCTGGTCTGTTTTTTATACAAGTTCTTTTAAATGTATAAAACCTCTTAAACCCTGCTGGGTTGCCCACTTTA